AATAAAAAAGGTTAGAAACAGACTTTTGAAATGGTTGCATTAAACAGCATAATTAGCACTCAAGTTGGATTTTTGACCTATGATACTAGGACTAAGCAAGACATTCAATACATGCTTTTGGACTTATTATAAACTGAGTTTGTCTGGGCTAGAGTTCAGTTCACTTCTTGTGAAAGTACAGCATTGCACCAGTGTCCTGGGGATTAAGAGAAGAAACTGAGGATTTCATTTAGCTCGACATAACTTATATCAGATGAGCCAATGTGAGCTACCCTGCAATATTTAGGTCAGTGTAGTTTGTCCTTTATTCTGCAATACACTTTACTGAGAAAGAGCTAGGCCATCAAACATCACACAATCCACCACATTGCTGGCAGGACCTCTTCGTCTTCTGCTTATGGAAGGGCTATGAGGGGAAAGGCAAGAAAGGATTGACTCTTCTGTGTACCAGACATTAAGAAATGCAACTTCTTTCTCTATTTCACAGAGGAAATACACTTTTATATTTCACTTCTAACTCTAGCTTGCTGTATTGAAAGATTATGTGCCCTGGGCACCTGTTCAGCTACAATAACACACATTTTACAACCTAGCCCATACTTTTCAAGATACAAGGTTTCTATGAAGAATAAAAATTTAAAAAAAAAAGTCTGCAAAAAACCACAGTCCAGGCCAATTGCATACTGAGAAGTTAAAATTATTAGGTAGGTCCAGAAAAGTCAGCACTGTGCTTATCACTGCCAGTGATGACCTAAAATCCCCAGTTCTACACTGAACGGAGGGAAAGCTTGAAGAGAGGAACTTTTTGCTCTCAAGAAGCAGGAAATTTTTCAGATAGTATCTCTACAGTCTTTGATAGCCAGGACTGAGTTTGGTGTTGAATTTGTCAAACCAAGTCACTCATGCCAAACTGAATCCACACTGTTGGCCCTCATTTGCCAATAGAACATTAATTTTGTCCTCACACTCTTAGCAAGGGACAAAACAGATGTCTTTGGCTTCTGCACCTTCCCACAACAGCACTTTCTTGAATCATAAGCTTTGACCAAGCTGACCAACCACTTAGCATCTATCACCCAGCTTATTACATACTATGAGAGGTTATATACAACAGGGGCCAGAAGCTTGAGCAGATTCTTTTCATTGATGGTGGCTGCAGACAATCTCTCATGGCAGGCAGGGAGTCATAACCTCAACCTTGCAGTCTCTATCATGCAAAAATGCCATTTCTGGAGGAGAAAGGCCGTGGCACCTCATTTTTCTCTACACTACTACAGTCAGTAGTAAGTACCAACCAACCACATGCAACGGGCCATCTTCAACAAACTATGCCAAGTACCTGGCATGAGTTTTACCTACAATGTCTCCACACTGTTGTCCTAGTGTTCAAGAACATAGCCATCATCCTCTGAAGTTTGCACAACCCAACCCTAGGCAAGTTGTTTGGAAAGCACTTAGAGGTGGGGAAATTCAGAGCTGGTGAGTTACATCACCAGGCACATGCTCCCATCACAGGTGTCATCCAGAGCTTTGCTCTGTGTGATCTCTTGAACATTGCAAAAGTCTGAGATGGTGGACACATGAATCTTCTGTTTGCTGAGTGGATAGTTATGTGAGTAGAAAAAGGCTGTAACTGCGGCATAATGCAGACCCTGGTGGGTAACAGGTTTGCATGAAATGTTTAGAAAATAGGGCATCTTTGATTCAGGGCAGTCCAGTATAGAGGTACTGACCTGCACTGCAGGCAGTGCTGCTTATTCCCTGCTGCCTCTGGAGAATTATTTTTTATATGCCCATAAATTTCACAGCATGTTCAAGGAGCTTGCACTGGGCTGCATTGCAATGAGGTCCACAGACTTCATTTGTTCACCTAGATACAAGCTTCCTAAACCCTGGGCACGTTAAGCTGGCATGCAGTGCACTGCATGGCTTCTGCTAAAGAAGGAACTCTGCTAACAGGACCGTCACTGGAAACAGTGGGCTTCATTTCACTGTCAGAGTCCATACATACCTACCTTGCCCACACATGCAATGGCCGTCATGAATATTATCTCAGCCCTATTTCTGTCTGTCGGGCTGAAAATATCACACCCTTCTCTTAAAACACCTCTCTCTCTGTCAAAAATCACAAACAATTTCTCCCCAGACTTCCTGTCCCTCTGCCCCTTGTATACCACGCCTGAGCTGTCACATGATGAGCAGAGATCAGGCTGGACTTCCCTACTGATTCTTCAAATAAAAATCCTGTTGCAAAGGAAAGTAGCTCTTCATCGTCGTCGTCGTGTCCCCCGTCCTCCCCCCCCCTTTCTGAGAAATTTCTCTGCTGGTGTCCCAGTGCCCAGATGCCCTTGCATGCCATGCTGGCACAGCTGTGGCCAAAGGGTGAACGAGAGCTGAGGAAACTTAAATCAGAAACAGAGGTACATTCAATAAACAAGACGTACTTGCAAAGTGTAATGAAAAAAATAACCTGGACACAAATACCAAGGACGCAAAGCCAATGCAACATCACAGCAAGGAAAAGTAACAGCAGAATAAAAGAGCTAATAGAGGCTGACACATTCCCTAGAAAATAAAATTAGAGTAGTATGTATTTGGGTGAGCAGAGCTGTGCCCTTCTTCAGCAGACAATATTCTAAATTTAAAGTGCCAGGGCTACCTGCCTTCATCCACTCCAAAACATTGAGGATAGGGTGGAATTTCTTAAAAAGTTCTTCCAGAAGTCTCAGATAAACCCTAAACATGCAGTGAAAGAAAGCAAAAACCATAAAACCCAGAGGAGTGAGTAATCCATCCAGCACTGTGAGGACCTAATTTTTTTTGTAGGATTCTTTGCCAGAATTGTTCCCCAATAGATGTTTC